GATAGAAGTTGTGTTGGAGAGTGCCAAGTTGAGCAAAGCTATTGGTGCCATTCATTAGTGTAATTAGTGCCACAAGGAGCATCAGCAGTGGCCTTGTCCCAAAGATATCCCACAGATTTTTACTCCATTGTTGGCATTGTTTGGTCACCGTACAAAGGGCTTAGTTTTTAATTGGCCTGGACTAAATTAGTTGTCTTCTCCTGCTTTGACTAAGTGCTGAAAACTTGTAGGGAGATTGGTATTTGGGCCTACATGCTGTAAGTACATGTTACTGCAAGCGAAAATGAGTCCAGATAAATACGTGAAGGTTGTTCTTTGAAAAGCCAGTGCTTAAACCTTCCTCCACTCCTCTCTTTGGCTGCTAAGTAGATTTGTGGCTCTGAAATTGTTTCTTCTCTGTCCTTTCTCTGGTATTCCTCTCTCCTTTATTTACACTCAGTCTCTGGGCTTTCCATTGTTAACAGCACAGCAAGGGGGTATCTGTAACATCTTTCTGTTTTTCACTGCAGGGTGGACGGAGGGACCACAGCAGAGCAAGGGAAGTGTGGCTGATATGGGGGAGGCATGAGATTGCTTGTAAAAAGCACCCATTAGCCTAGAAGTGACAGCTCCTGCAGCAAGACTAGAAAGGCCAATAATTCCCACCAAGTTAGATATTCAGAGGATAATATTCAATCCACAGACATCATGCAGCCACCTCTTAATTATCTGCACAGTACTGTGCAAATAATTAACATGGTAAAATAAGCCTCAAGCATCTGTGTTGCATCTGGGGAGGGCTTCCTTTTAGCTGTGTGGTGGCCAAAAGAGACGAACTTCCAACATCCAAGGAGGAGAGGAAAATCACAGCAAGTCACATTATGTGATGGAATGTAATTATGTGAATTGAGCTTCAGCATTTTAAAAATATTTTTGGAAGTGATATTCAAATGGTGTTTGTTCTCATCTCATCACTAGAAACATGGTAGTCATTGCATAGGGGTGGAAGCCCTTTCTTCCACTAAGGGCCACCTTACCTCAAGGTAGAAAAATCTCCAGCATAGCTTGTCGTTATGTGTTAATACAGTCAATAAGTAAGGATGGTCGAAGCTCTGGCATCTTTTCTGTTTACCTATTGTGGAGTGACACAGAGCTTTAGGGTCACAAGCCCAATCCAATTTTCCCCAGAAAAAATGTGTCCCATACCCTTTCCCTTGAACACCAGTTGTTTAGAGTTTTCTGGATACTTTGCAGCTTTTTTCCAAAATTCTAAATGTTGGAATGCCTCTCCAAAGGCTTGGTTATTTGCAGTAAGTGCTTACAAAATGCTGGTTGGGTGTGCTTGCTTGATTTTTACCCCACCTTTCTGCCAAGAAATTGGTTTATTTTATTTTGTTTTACTTGTCCCCATCTGCTACTGGACTTTTGTCTCCAAGAGCTTCTCTGAAATGGAGTTCAGTCCTCAGACTGAAAGGTTCTACACCTCTGCTCTAAGCTCACCATATTTAATGCCGCCCCGAGGTTTCGGCAAGGGGCGGCATAGAAATGTTATAATAATAATAATAATAATAATAATAATAATAATAATAATGCCCTCAGTATGTGTAAAAAGAAAAGAGAGAATAGGAAACTTAACTCATTCTGTACTTGCAAGCTGACAGTGGCTGGCATCAGCCTGTCTTCTGCCATCAACCTTCTGATCATGGCCAAACCACTAGTCATGATAGTAGTTTAGTATGCTGGAGAATAGCAGGACTGAGAGTGCTCAGGCTAGAAGAGGAACCTTGACTGAGCAGAGATGGGCAAACGGTGTGAGCAGACAAGGGAGAGCGAGCTAGGAACTCTGGTAGCTACCTTCTCCTACATCAGCCTGGAAGCCCTTCTTTAGCTCCTCCCAGTATCAGAGGTGACAAGATGGTGACCAGGCAGAGGGCTGGTTTGGCATTGAAATCACTAAACTTCAGTAGCTGCAGCACTGAAATTCTTTTCCCAGGGAGCTTTGTCTGGACAACTTTCCTTGAACTATATTCTTTTCAAGCTAGGTGAAACCCTTTTAATTCCCCCCAGGCCTTTTAGACGTGCTATTTTAACTCTCTTCTGTGGTTGCATTGGGAAACTGTGTTGCCTAATGATGTTTTTGTATTCTGTTACATTTGATTTCATTGGGTTTTAATTATTTTTAAAAAAATTATATAGGCTGCTCTGTTATTTTTTTAAATAGGAAGGTGTTAAATTCCTGGCCGATATAATTTGAGGCTGCTGGAGTATACAAGGGGCCATGATTGTATAGATGAAAATAATAGCACATACCAGACACAAAACAACTATTACAACTCCCTTGGAAAATCCAGGACAGAAAAATGTGGACAGCAGGAAAAGAAATGTTTAGCTCAGCTAAATATTGTTCATGAATATTGGTCCATCTAGGCTTGGGGATTGTTCTGGCCCCTGAGGAGGATACACACATCCAACCAATTTCTTATTACAAAAATGGTACTTGTTCGTTCTACTTCATAAGCATGCCCTGCTTATGCTGAGGCCTTCTGGACTTACCCAAGCGTCACAGTGCTGCTATGATTAGTGATTCAGCTAGGGGCAAAATCTGGAGCCCCACAATGTGGAAGGTCCAACAGGCCACTCAGAGAGTGGCAAGTGATGGAGGCAGCAGAAGCAAACTCTGTTATTCCTATACTCATGATAGTGCTATGATTTACAAGCCTAAAATGCCAAACTGGCCATGCTCAGAGTATTCTTTTTTAATCAGGATTGGCAAATTGTTTTGCTGTCATTTGAGCCTATCAGGAATGGAGAAGCTTTTGCAAAGTATACAACAGTGGTTGTTGGCCGATGAAGAAGTGCTAGCTGTGTGATTCACAACTAAGATAACACATACATCCACCTAAATGGAACCTTGGTAAGACTATTGAATCCGGGGTCTGAAATTATTTAGCTGTATCACTGATTATCATGACAGAACCACACTTTCAGTGATTATTCTTATCAGCTGTGTCCTCAGTGATTGGATGCCCCTGCATTTGGAGGTGTACAAGCATCCAGTGCAGGGGGGAAGAGTGATGAAGGCAACCTTTGCTTCCTCCTCTGCCCACTGCAGATTTCATTAGATGGGCAGGTAGCAAGCCAGCATTTGGAGGGAGACGGAAGGGGGCTGGAGGACACTCAGGATAACTCATATCCTGCCTTTTTCACCTTTCTCCACCCATCAGAAGTTCCACTTTATCCTCCACTTCCTTGTTTGTCTTTCTGACTTTGGAGGGCAACTAGTATGGTTCTTTCAGCACATGCTGTGTGGGACTGAGATTTGGCTGTCCAGTTTTCTCTTTTGACCTTGCCCAGGAAAGCAGGATTTTTCTCTAAAGGAGAAGTAAAGGAAAGAAGATGTTTTGGTATAAAGACTGGGGTAGCCATGACAATAGTGGAGGAGCTGTAAGGGTAGCTGCATGGACCCATGAATTCCTGTTCTTGAAGCTGTGTGTTTGATTTATTGCAACAGTTTTACTCCGCCTCTCAGGCTGAAGAAATGGCTAACAGTGATGGCACTCATTACCAGTCCACCAGGCCTCGGAAGCCTGGTATAAGCCACAGCACAGCTGAGCCTAACAGCATTAAATCGTTAACAGAGGCACAAAAGAAAAGACTAGAAGCAAAAATGCTATTGGAATAAAAGGAAACAGAATGGATCTGCACTGAGCCCATGTGCCTGTGGCCTGGTAGGCACCGGCCCTGTGAAAAGCCCTGCCTTGTGCACCAAGCTGCCAGCTTCCAGGGCCTGGTGGAGACACAGCAGGGCCTCCTGCATGGGGCTGGCCCACAAAGCACCTGTCCTCTACCTGGCGCCTCCCAGAGGTGTTGGCCTGCAACTCCCGTAACTGTCAGCCAACATTGGCCACTAGTGGCAGGGAATTATGGAAGTTGCATGTCTGGATGGTGCCTGGTTGGAAAAGGCTGCCTTAAGGATAAGGGAAAAATTCTCTGCTTGCTGGTTATAGTTAATGGTATAAATACCTGCTCATCTGAAAAACCAACATTAAGGTTATCTCATGTTTGCTTGGGAGCCACAAAACTAGGAAGTGGGAAAGGCTGATGACTTAACAGACATGTCCCATGATAGTGACAATGTCCAGACTTCATTCATTGCATAACAGGCTTGAATAAACTACATTGGTTGGTTCACCTGGAATTTGAAACAAATATACAAGCTGAAATATAGAGAGAAAAGTCCAAATGTCTCTATTTTCAGCACCTGCTAACTTGTTATCTGTGGGAATTTGTATCAGATCACTCAAAATATTAATCTGAAAACACAACTGGGGATGTCTTCAGATTATTAATTCAACTGGGGTTATTTATTTAAATAGTAGAATTTGAAGCTCTCCCCACTTTATCTGCAACTCACCTCAACTACTGTGCCCCTTAATATAGGTTGGGGACCAGAAATTTTCCCTCTAAGACAGGGATAATCTTGTTTTACTCCTGAATACACCCTGTCTGATTCTTTCAAAATCATGGCAAAAGCTGCATAAGTGTGATTTAGGGTTGAGGTTTAAATCCCTTCTAGTACACACCAGTGAAGGGATTGCCTGGACATATACACTGTAAACAGACACGGCCCATTTCTTTAGCTTTCCTGCAATGTCAGGCCTTGCTTTCCTTAACATTACAGTGCATGCTGCAGATCAGATGAAGTGGCAGCTGCAGGCAGCCAGTGGGTGCCACTGACATACCCTCATGGTGCCCTGTACCTGTTAAATGCCCTGATTTTCTGCTGTTTCTCTCTGCGTGCCATGCTGCCTGTAATTCTGGGGCATAATTTCATTGTTTTTCATTGCTTGCGTATGCCTGCAAGGGTGACTGAGCTTCCTCAGAAAGTGCCTTTCTCAGCTGTAACTTCCAAAGTGGATGTCCATTCCTTCAGGTCCCTTGCACTACTACAGGTTGACCCCTCCCTCGACTTCCCATGCTTGCTCACTTCTTTCCCTGTGGCACCACTCCTCTCATTGCAGAAGACAGCCACGCCATGTCGTCTGGTCAGAACACGCAATCTACTGTGCCGCCTCTGCATTCGCCGAAATCACCCGTGTGGCCCATTTTCCCCTTCAACAGGGAAGGAAGTCGGATCTGTGAGAGGGGTACCCACCTTCTTCGGGATTTACCCAGCCCACTCCCCACGAAAAGAACCAGGACATACTCTGCGTGAGTAACCCGGCTCAGTGCCACAGAAGTAGGGCTCCTGAGGCAGGTGGAATGCATTACTCATTTTGAAGCTGGTTGAAATGCACACTTTCCATGCAACATTTGAAGATGTGGACTGCATTGGAGGGGGCTGGGGGAGATGAGACATTGCCGTTCTAATTATATCTGCGAGCTTGTTTTCAGTCATATGCACAATTTGATTCTGGCCTGGTTCTGACAGAGCTCTTTTTACTTTCATCCTTCTGGAAACTGGCAGGCCTAAGAGATGCTATCTTTCTGATATCTTTAGTTACTTCCCAACTGGGCACACTGAGGCTTCTGAGCTTTGTTATAAGTGAGCTTTGGCTTTTGCTAAAAGAGCCTGAATTTTAGCCAGTTGTCCACTGTGTGAATGGAAAACTGGACTAAGAGGCCCTTGGTTTGATCCAGTACAGCTCTTCTTATGTATGAAGTTGCTGTGCTGGATCAAAGGCAGTGCTATCATACAGACATATACCCAGACTAATGAGACCAGGAAGTGGGAAAATAAAAATCAAAGGTAATATGCTGGCTAGTCCTGTCTAGAAAGTAGAAAGCCTGCACATCAAGATGGTGGCTTCAGTGTTCCTAAGGAGAGCACATGAAGCATGGACAACACCCCCACCCCCCAGACAATTAACATTTTCTTGTGAGGATTTTATTGTGCTTTTGCCACACCTCATTAATGAATTTTAAGGGAAGCCCAGGTGCTTTTGTCAGCTGCTATAATCCTGCCATGTTCTCCCACCTAGTCTTCCATCTATGCCAAGAAAAGTCTGTTAAGAAAATATCAAATAGTTGCACAATATTTTCTGGATGTTAACATTAGGATGCCTCTGCCTGGGAGCATTCAGTGGGCCAGTTCACGGGGAGCTACAGCCTATGGCCTAAACGATCCATGTGCCGTCAAGGATGAGCAGGAGTAAGTAGATGTGCTCTCTGCAGTGCACCCACCGCTTCTCCTTTTATTCATCAACCCACAAGCTGCTCTGTTGCAGGTTGCAGAGCATGAACCAGGATTGCTGAGCTGTTTAGGGGCTAATCAACAAGCCATGGGTTAACCATTGGGTTATTTAGCCCCTAAACAACCCAGCAGTTCAGCTTCTGACATGCTCAGCAACCTATGATGGGGCAGATTATAGATTGCTGAGTAAAAATGGAAATGATGAGTCTATTGTAGGCAGTGTAATGTGTATGTGCTTTACTGCTCATCCTTAACAACCCCATAATCCATGTGCTGTTGTGTGAACCAGATCACTATTTTGTGCTGTGATGGGACAGCCGAGCTCAACTGATTTTAAGACTGCCCCGGAGCTATGTTGGTCCCTGTGAACCAGGGGAGACTGAAGAACTGTGCATATCTGAACTAGCGTTCAAGCATTTGGGGAACAGGAGAGTTTTAAAGCAATTTCCTAATGCAGGATTGCTTGCAAATACATTATCCTCATTCACACTTTCTCCAATGTTCCCAATGTTGGTGTTAAGTTTTGAGAGGTTTCTGGAGAGGTAAAAATGTGGAAATATTGAATTTTGTAAGTTGATTCTTAACTCTATGAATTTAACTGCCTAAACATATTCTCTCTCAAATGTCAAAAGTAAAATTCTGAGGTACTGCTGAGTTTTCTGAATGTCTGCTTGGACTATGACAGCTGAAACAGTGTTATCTAAGAAAGTAGCAGCTTAACTTCTTGCCTGGAAATTCCAGTATGACTCTAACTGAATTTTATCCTTTCTTCTTCTTCCCATCCTCCTTCATTTTCCTAGGACGGCTCGCGCCTCTGCTGGTCCTGTCTACAAGGGTGTATGTAAGCAGTTTTCACGCTCCCAGGGCCATGGCTTCATCACCCCAGAGAATGGCACAGAGGACATATTTGTACATGTTTCTGAGTGAGTTCCATGGGAAATTGGGTGAACAGCTGTGACTTTGTACCACATATATATACATATTTGAACAATCAGTGCCCCGCTTTTTCCTCTCCACCCTTGTTGTGTCAACAGCATTGTGTAATGCACATCACACAGTAGGTTTGTGGAGAAGCCATCCTTCCTAGAAGCTGAAAGAGAGAGAGAGAGAGAGAGAGAGAGAGATATTTGGTGCCATAAACCAAATAGAAAATTAAAGACTGCTACTTGAAATGTCCACTAGTGCATGGTGTAACATGGCCTGTGTGCTGTAACATGACCTATGTCCCTATCCCCTTCTATATCTATGGAATACAAAACTTGCATAACGTTCTGCAAGGAAATGTGGTCACCTGGATTTTCAGCTGGTCTAGGCTGCTTGTGGACAGAGGGGTCCTGGAACTACTAGGAAGTTTTTGGACTGGTTTGCATGACAGTGACAGAATATTGTGGGCTATTAAACTCATGAGAAGCTGTGGTGTGTGCTGGTCACATGTAGCCACCAATCTGAATATGCAACCCACAACTGGGGCAATAAGAAGTTATGACATGTTGTGCGAACCTGGCCATTGTCAGCATTAAAAGGTTAAACAGTCCTCACAGAACCCTACTAATAAGCAACACTCACACAACTGTGCTACTTAATCAAGAATTGTGTGAGGGTTGTTTAACCTTTGAATAGTGCATGATAGTTGAATTCACATGACATGGGGTTTGCATATTGGAAATGATAGCGGCATGAGGGTGGCACATGCTACAGCTTATTGATGGTTGAATAACCCAGGATGAACCAGTTGTGCACCTGCTCCACTTTTCCTCAACTGATATTCCATAGTAAAGAAAAAAAAGGAAGAAACAGTAGGAAAACATAGCAGAGTTATGAGAGGCAGACAGTGTCTGGATCCCCTGTACAATTCAGATGCAAGGAATTGGAATGATGAACACTTTGTCCGGTTGGCAAGATAACTCTTTTTTATATAAATTCATAGAAATTTCCTGGGCATGAACCATTGAATGAGGTGGGAGGTATGTCTGAGTAAACATGCATAGGAATGCACTGTTTCTTCTTGAATATTGCAGAAACTGTAGTGCAGTCATTGTGGACTGAAGGAAGTACATTGTAAAGTCTCATTTTGGGGGAGCTTCTAAGTAGTGAGTGTATTCAAAATTGTAACACGTGTATTCTTTATGAAAATCTCTTTCTCCCCTTGCAGTAACATTTTACCCATTCTCCAATAAAAGTGGCTGCTTTGTATAATTTGCAGTTCATTGCTCTCTGTGCTCCCTCCAGTTTTGGGTATCTTTTGAAATACCCAAGGTATCACTGCACAATGCTTTAGAGTCAAAGTAGATAGGGGTACTTCCAGTGAAGATTTGTATTGTGCAATTAAACTGCCTCCTTCATGGAATTTTACAAGTTCTAGACATTATTATTTTCAATTTGTATACATGCTGTGTTTTCCCACTGCTGCTGCTTTCTTTTTTTCCTTGCCATACAGTGCCCTTTGACTGTTAGTACTAGTGCTTTCTCTGTCTGAAAGCACCCTTAGACACAAAAACACTATATTTAAATGGCAAGACACTAGTCTTGGGGTTTAAATATCAGAAAAAGCTTCCTAATTATTTGATGAGTAGTACAAGTTGCCTTACAGGTAGTAAATCTCCTTCACTTTACAGTTTCAGGAAAAAGCTGTGCAGATGTACCCTAGGAATGCTTTAGACTAAAGTATTCTGCCTTAGGAGAAGGTAGAAGCAAGACTTGAACATAGCATCAGGACAACAATAAATTCTTGACATCTGAGATCTCAGTGGAGCAGAAATGGGGGCATGAAATATGTTTTCTCCAGTTGCTTGTTATGCCTTGTAGATGGAACTAGAATTTGTTCGTTCAAGGAAACACAGAACAAAGCGTCAGCGTTTAAAGCCATTCTGAAGTACATCTCTGACTTTGAATGTTTTGATATGACATATTGCCCAAATGGCAGAATTTTTCCTAAATGAGTCTGCTTGCAATGTTGGTGGAGTATGCAGCTAGGGTCTATTTTTACTTGCTCTGTTCCTGTTTGGGTGGCATGACAATCCAACCTGTGAATAAGCATGGTGTGCCCAACAGAGTATCAGTTTCACTGGAGACTGCCCCCTCCCCTCCTGCCTTCATCCTCTGCAGCAGGACTCATCTCGTCTTCTCTTCCAATGGCAACTGCTACCTCTTTTGTGATGGGTTGTCAGGATGGCTTGCTGCCCACAAATAAGCTACTGTGCAGGACATCGTCCGTGTTTGCATAACTCATCAAACCACCCTGGCTAGTTAGCATGAAGTGTTGCTGGGTCATGTGAACATGAGCATAGTGTTTGTAAGTGATCTCTCATCCAGGTATGGTCCAGGTCATCCAGGTATGGTCCAGGCTAAACCCTGCATTGCTTTAACAATGTGATGGAATCATGGGATCCTGCCGACCCTTTACCTTGTCATTTAAATTGGGAGGTATTCAAATGACCAAACACAACCACAATGAAAATATGCTTGCATCATGTACCCGCTGCCAACCATGCTGACCATGCACTGAGTTGACTCTGGAGATAGCCTGCTTGCCTAGACAAGAAAGCAGAAGAGCATCATCCATGAGAATAGGAACCCTGGTGCTCCTCTCTGTGTGGCAAAGGCCCATGCATGTAAATGAGTATGGATGTGGGTCCCTACCTCAGGTTTCCAGGACAATGGTGGCCTGTCTTGAAGCTGCGAAAGCAACTAAGAGCACACTTTAAATCTTTCAAGGTATCTCATGATTCCCAGCTCTGTAACTAGTCTCTCAAGATACTTACAAAACTGATTGTTTAGAGTAGGCTGGGCAGAATTCTTGGGCAGTCGTTTGGTTTCAGATTCATTTACATATAACCAACTTGATGTTTCATTACCTCAGTTGTTCATCAGAATTCTGCAGTGTTTCTCTTCTTTTTCTTTTCAGTATCGAAGGAGAATATGTCCCAGTAGAAGGAGATGAGGTCACATACAAAATCTGCCCCATCCCACCAAAGAATCAGAAGTTCCAGGCTGTGGAAGTGGTGCTCACCCACTTAGCTCCACACACAAAGCATGAAACGTGGTCAGGCCAAATAATTGGCTCCTAAACTGCTGTTTGGGCCTGCAGGTCAACTTCACCGGGAAGTGGAGTTGGATGGTGTGGTGGGTGGTAGAACTGCTGGAGCAGGCTGGCAATTCTTGTTTGCGGTGTGACATGTTTGCATTTATAGCTTGTCTTTTCTAAGACTTGACCGTTTTTTGTTTTTTTGGCTTTCTGGTAAACGTGCTTTTCTCAAGATGGCAAGCAGGAAGTGGAAAAGTGCTGCTGAAAGGTTTTCTTTGTGTATGTCATGAGCTTCTAACTGTACCTGGCTGGGCAAAGGCAGAGCTCCTTCCGTGTGTGTGTGTGTGTGTGTGTGTCCACAAAAATTGGTATTTATTTGCTGTTAATGCACGCATTAACAAAAACATTGTCTGTTATCTTGGTCTGTATAACAAATTCTGTTGCTTTCTCAACAGGGGCAGGGCCAAGGTAGCCCTCCCATTTACATCCAGCCTTCTTCCCAGCCAGAACAGGAACTCAGTTGCAGGTGGAAGACTTGTCGTCCTCCAGATGTTTTGGCCTGTTATTCCTCACAAGTGGCTATGCTGTCTAGGACTGATGGGGTTTGTAGGCCAAAGCAATGTGAGGAGGACTACACATTGTGCAGTCCTGAACTGAGTGATGCAGTGAAGAATGGCTCTGGGGACAATTCTTCAAAGTTGTGGCTACTTCAAAGTGTCTTCCAGAGCCTTTCTCAAATTGTGCCATCTACAGAGATGCTCGAAGGTGTTCTTGTTTTTCCTAGCCATTCATGGGGAGGGAGCACTGGGCTTGTACTTGCACCAATACACTGATGACACTTTTCTGGACTTCTGCCAGTCTCTGTCTCCTGAGATCATTGGTTTGGCTACCACAGTTAGGTGACCTTTGGATAGGATTACTTAGCTAACAGCGATGTTGTTTTTACCACTTGCATTTCAGGCAAAATGGGCATATCTGATGTAGGTTGTACAAAGCAGCCAGTAGGTGGCATCACTCAAGAAGCAGAATTTCTGAACAAATAAAACACATGAATACCTCAGAGGTATTCACTCTTGGATCTGTCAGGTTCTTGTATGATGATGCAGAGAAATTACTAGCTTTACTGTTTAAGCAGAAAGCTACACTTGGAAAGAGATGGGGGTTCTGCATTAATAGGGCACTGGACATGATCATAAATGTGCTGCTGTGGTTGGAAGCAGCCTCAAAACCATTGGATCCTGTGGTGCTTCCATTCCCCAGTGCGTAATGTGAGTTATTTTTCACCACAAGTGCTGAGTGTTCAGTTTTTGGATATTATTATTTGGCAGTTTGTGTACTTAATGTTCAGGAGAACAATGGGAAGGCATTGGTGTGAAAATACTGGCCTGTAACTTCTCTGTGCCATTGATACAGATTTTTAACTGCTGCAGAAATGCTTTTTCTTTTTTTCTTTTTTTGGGAGTGACTGCTCTGCTACAGAGCCTGTTCAGTTGCTGTATCTAATGAGAGCGAAGGAAAGGAAGGGCAGGGCAGAGAATATAAATCTGAAGAAAACACTAGAACAGCTCTTTCCAGGGCAGCAGATCATGCACATGGACACACACAATTAACACAAGGTTCGGTGTGTTCTTTAGTTTTGGAAAAAAAAAATATCAGTTTTAATTTTAGGGTTTTCTTTTGACAACACAAGCGATGAAAATTTGCAAATATTCCCTCACTTGAGGCTACCTATGGAGAAACCTTTCTTAGTCCTAAAGACTTTTCCTCCTTTATATCACAACAGTTTGTTCCATCTGTTCCTTATTTGTGTGACAATGTGTTGCTTCCAGCCTTCCAGTTCGGTATGAACAGGTCCTACTTGCAGAGAGTCTTTTCTGCCCTGTGTGGTGAGGTTCTGTTCCTTCTTTACTCTGAAAGTAAAAGCAACTGCACTATCTGGAGTCACATTAGTGTCTTAAACTGCAGCAAAATGTAATGTCAGTAGGATAACATATGTTTTTATTTCCATCAGTTTCAAAGGGAGTGTGTGTGTCTGTGTGTGTGATGTCCTGGATTGACGTCTCCTCTGTTAATAGCTATGTTATCCTGATGACGATACATGTTCCAAATATATTAAAATGTAAACATTGCCCATTTTAAGGCATTTTTCTTTCTCTCCTGAAAGTAGTGAGTCATTTTAAAAAAGTAATTGCAAATAAAGGTATCTTTGCTAGAAAAGTAATCTGTTATATTTGAAATAGAATAGAGCCACTTAGATGCTGTGGTTTTATCTTCTTGAGCTGTGTACAGTGGTTCTTGCCAATGGAAGTCTGCTTGGAGGATAGCATTTTGGTTTGCTGCGTCTCCAGAGGTTTGCTTCAGTATTTTCTGCATGTGTTGTATTTCTGAGTGTTACAGATAATGTATTTCCTCAGGATGGATGTTTGGGCTAGTTCTGCCACTCTTCCGTTATCCCAACCCAGACATTTTGATGCTTACCCTCTTTGTGTCCAGTTCTGTAGTCAATGAGGGTTGTGTGCAAAAGATATGGAAGAATGAGTGCATGAGTGTCACGATTCTTGGGGCGGTAGTAGATTATGGGGTCTAGTGGCATTGTATTGAGTGCTTCCTTCAGTTATGCTTTGGTTCCGCCTTGCCTTCCCCAAACATTTTACAGCTCTCCCCAGGATATACAGGGTCATGTCTAAAAGCACAAACCTGATTTGTAATAAGCTTATAGGTGTTCTAAGTAGCAGGGTTTTCCTAGGATAGGGTATGCATGCTAGGAGTCTGCATGGTGGTGCCAAGAAAGCTAAAGTGGATGCTCAAGTCCAAAGCTTCTTAAACGATGCGATCTCTGAAGTTTCTTTACCCTGGAGAGACGTTGTATGGGCGTCTTGACTGAGCTGATGTGCCAGAAGCACCACTGCTCTAGGGGCTAAGTGGAGGTTACAAGAATGCATGTGTGAAGTTTGAGGTTTTGGTGTGGTGCTTCTTAGGAACCTGATTAGAACCTGGTAAGAAGAACCCACAATTTGCTGTCACCATGAGACTTGTCTTTAAGTAGGGTGTTTTGTACTTGAGTTGCATTTCCAGAAGCTTTCATGAAGTGCTCTGTGAATGTGTATCTACAGCATGTCTGGTGCCAGTAGTTCATAGCTTTGGGGTGTCAGCTATGCTGTTCCCCTACACACCTGCAGTTAGGTGTTGGGGCTGTGATTGAGGGACCAATGTAGACTGTTCACTTTGTGTGACCAGGTGTATAATGGCAGCATTCTGACACTGTATTGTTGGGCACGTTGTCATCAAACTTTTCCAGAAGCATTTCCTGTGCTTTGAGTTTAGTGCTACAGTAACAAATCGGGATCACAGGAAATTCTGGGCAGAGATACCCAGAGAGGGTGGCATCTTCCTCCATTTATATTTAAATCTGGAAGACTGACTGATGCCCTGCCAGAACACTGAAAATGGTCCAGTAAGTTCATGGGTTTTTCTAAATGGGAACTGGCCCTCCTAAGGCATCCCCATGGTCAGAAGGAACAGTGAGTCTAATGTAACCATTTAGGAAATTCACATGTGTCTCTCTGGAATGGGCTGAACCCTGCACCTCCCATTTGCAAAGAAAGGGGTAAGTTGGACTCCCCAGCCAGGTGCTTTTGGACTTCAAATCCTATCAACTCCAGACAACACAACTAATGTTGGAGGTTGTCATCCAAAACATTGAAAGCACAAGGCTGGGGAAGGCTGGAATACAAGGAAAGGTCTAAGCTAGCCCCTTCTCTGATGTGCAAGCCTTCATATACAGGGAACTAAATGCACAGGAGTATTCAAAAACAGCATAATGCTCCCCACTGTCTACCATGGAGTAACACAGTCTAGAAAGACAACTGCCATGTGAATTTCCTGAATCTGTAGCTGACTGCTGTCAACACGAGTGGTCTCCAGGCAGTACTGTACAAAAGGGCTGCTAATTATATTCTCGGGAGTACCTTGCTTTTTACTTGCTTCTGATTCTTTTTCCTCCCAAGATCCAACCTAGTTGAGTATATGAATATTCTTTTGATTGAAAATACCAACGTAATTATATTTCTTGGACCCACACTATGCTTAAGGGCCGCAGAAGAACCTCTATATATGTGTGGTGAAGTGGAGGTCATGTTTTTTAAAGAGGCCTTTCAAATAGAGGCACTTGTGCTGTGCAGAGATACAAGCTTGTCTGGACTTCTCCCTCAGAGTGCAACAGCTGCCCTCTAGCCCCAGGAAAGGAACAAAGTGCAGATCTGACAGAAGCCATTTCCCCACTCCCCAAGGTGCATCCAGGTCCCTCTGTGTGTGACCTACTTCCTGTGACCATTGGAGGGGCTCTCTGCTCACATCAAACACCAGCAGCTCCTAGCCTCTGTCCCTCTCCTTCAAGGTGCAATACTAGTGGGGAACACTGCAGAATTATGACTTCCCCCTAGGAATGCTTTTGATCCTTTCTGAAATAACCTTGTTACCTATAGTGTCTGTGTTTTTACAAATTTGTGTGGTCCTTGCCTGTCTGACCCCATGTTGACCTTCGTAACACTGGCAATAAACCATTAAAGTGACTTTCCCACAAGTCTTTCCAGTTTTGGTTATTCTTTGTAGGGTGTTTCTCTTGGGGCATGAATTGGTATCCGAATGACATCAGTGACAGACAGTGAAGCCAGAAAGCATAGATATGGGAAGTTGGGTGTTAAGTCCTAGTGTTCCTGGCCCAGGATGTTAGCTGGGCTAACTGTTGTTAACTAACAAGCTGACTGTTGTGGGGTTAGCCACTCACTCTACTTGGATGACATCTTGCAAAAAGATGCAAGAGTTGCCTTGCATCAGAGCTGGACCACTGATATGCTTAGTCCACCTATGGTACTGCTGCTGTGACAACTGCTGTTCAGGGCCCCCCTGCCCCCAGCAGATCTTTGATAGTAGCAAGTGTCTAAGTGAAGATATTAAGTCACTGCACCAGAGACTCATCCATGCAAACCCTACATCAGCCTTCCTGCACATGATAATTTCTCCAACATTATGCCATTAGCCATGCTTGTTGGGCATTGTGGGAATTAGTTCAGTGCTTCTGCGGGGCAGTAAGTTTGTTGGGGAAAGCTGCCCTGATCTGGCTTCTAACGAGAAAGACTCCCAAATCTGCCTCTTCTCAGTATAAGGTGGTAGATAAAATACATTTCATATGTGGCATGCCACCCAGCTCTTCTCAAAGGCAGACTTATCTCCTGCTTTTCCACTTGAATTTTGAAGATTTAAATGACACAAACAATGGGCAACCAGTATCTCCTGCTTCACTCTACAGTTCTACATTGTGGTATAACATTGAACGACAAGGCATGATCTCATTTGTTTATTTGTGATAAATTAAGCTATATTTTAAAAATGTAATACATTATCTAGTAATACAAGAGCTGCCTGTGAACAAAATACATCTGTTTACCAGTACACACCTGCTTTGTACATGTATCAAAATCAAAATCATGGGACACTCCTGCTTAATTAAATGCATCTACTGGTGTGGGACAGTGCTTATTTTTTTTTCTTTTGGTCCATCTGGAAAATACAGCTGATGGACTTCCCATAGTAATCAGTACATTCCAGTAAGTCATTCAGATAGTGCAAGCTAAAACAACTGGCAGTTTAAAAGGGGAAAGGAGTGGTACAATAGCTAGTCAGCATCTGCCTTTTCAAAGCCAAAAGACAGTATTAAGACAAACCAGATAAATGCAAATGTGTGGAGACTGCTGATGCAACTGCTTTCGCTATTACCATCAGCCCTTTCTCATTACCTTTATCCTTCTATTTATACACTGACTTGTCAGAGCCCAAAAATAATAAAGTTATCATGTTTATGGTTTCACAAGTATCTCTCTCGCACTCTTTTCTTCTATATACCAGTCTTTTCTAACAGATCTGGTAGCTTCCCAATCTTCTGGTATGGCCCTGTGAGTTCTTGCATACTGTGCCACACCAAGCCCAGTGAAAAGCCAATTGCAGTTCAGTGTGCACCGTAGTTATTTTCCCATTCTGAATGTATCCTCAATGGCATACAGAGAATAGGTTTACAGGTGGTCACAGTACTCATTGATATATCTAATAAGCCTACAAGTACTTGTCATGTGGTCTATGGAATCTAAGACAAGTTAGTGAGAAATACTAAGTCATGAAAAAATTTTTTAAAGGAATGTGAAAGGGAGAGGTCCATATCCTTCCTACGGAAACATGGCTTTCATTCATCCATTCAGTAAATAATGTACAACCAGAAGATTGTTTTTCTACTACCAATTACTAAATACTTCACATTTATTGGATTCAGTTGACTTTTAATCCAGTGTACTACCCCAAATCATCACCTTTGATAATTGAATTCCATGTTTCTCTTTTGCACCCAGGAGCCAGTGTGGTTGCTTACAGCAAGAGACAAATCTGGCAACTAGAAGGTTGCAATGGAAGCAAAGAGGGTTTTAACAGCTAGGGCCACACACACACACACACACACACACACACACCCACCCACCCACCCACCCACCCACCCTCCAACAGGTGAGGTTGCTGTGATTTTGCAACAGAAGTCATGCTACAGGTTGTTTTGATTGGTTCTAATTCTATCACACTGCTTAAAGCAGATCTGAGATGATTCCAGGTATCTATGATTAATTCCTACCTCCTCCAGCCCTCCTGGTGTTTATAGCATTAGCAACCTGACAAACATCATATGCTAGAGATCAGCAAATATCTAGCATTTTCTTGTTGCTCAGTATATGTGAAGCAAATAACATCAATTGATGTAAAACTGTGCAATTTGAGAACTGCCACTTGTATTGCAAAATGACTGGGTTTATACAATAAAACAACCTATTGTGGATTGCTTCCTATGATCTTGTTGCATGCAAGCCCATACCAGTTTCCCCAGAGTTGCTTGTTCAAGGGCAACAAGCCAGCCCAAAAACTCGTTGTAGGGGCTGATACCCATTTGAACCATTTGGTATGAGGAACTGGCTAAGCCCCTTGGCACGAGTGGCAAAAAAAATCCTGGTCATTCTTGTCAAACAGTTTCTGGGCAATTATCAATACCAGCCACCCCAAAGTTACCCAAACAACACTTAGGGGCAGCTAATATCAGCTTCCGCAGTCCCTACAGCAATCATGAGCTATTTTAAGGTTTCTCACAGTTCCCCTCTTCTTCTTCTACCAATTGCAAAAGTTGGCTTGACAGCCAGCATTCACAGTCTCAATTATAACAGCCACCGGAGCCCCTTAAAAGTGTCCAAGCAGCACCTGTCAAAACTCTGGAATTTTTAAAGGGGGGTTCTGGTGGGGCACAGGCAACCATAAATGGTTAAGGAGGGGGAAATAAAGGGGAAAATGCTATGGCAAGCTTGAAGCATCTTGTGGTTGTGGGAGGGAGGGAGAAGACAACTCAGCCCTCCCATGGTGTCCACTGGGATACTCCTGGGAGGACCAAGGAAGAAAGGAAGGAGCCAACCATCCACGGTGAGCCCCATCATCTGTCGGGTTCACTGTGGCTTGTTTGCACAACACCCAACTCGCTGTGGCTTATTGGCAGGATGGGTCAGGGTGATGTGTGAACATGCTGAGTGCCTCATTGTGCCAAGGAATGTAATGTACCAAGACATGATGGAAATGCCAGCTTCAGAAAGGCAGGAAACAGCAGCATTCCATCACATAGCTGAACACTAATTATTTGCATTGGAGCGTATAAAGGCAAGTGCCCTCTACATCAGGTTCTAAGGGAGACAGTAATTTGGAATCCCCTTAAATTTCCTTGACTGAAAGAAAGCACATTATGTTTTGGAATGTATTTTCTACAAAGGGTGGGGTGGGAGGATGATAGGAATGAGAAGAAAGACAATCACGGAGAGGACAATGAGCACAGAGAGGGAGAATGAAAACTGACAACTTAGCAGCAAGTTCTATGACATCCAACTTCGCTACCACAAGATCTAGAAATTAGATCTTTTAAAAGGGAAAAAAAAGGAAGTCATACATAATATGGTATGTAATGAGAGGCAATACCAAAGAGAAAACCCCTTTTATAATCAGTTATGTTTTTGTAAACTTGTAACTCTTTCACTCAAGGTTGGTCTTTGTGTTTCTTTAAACTAAGTAACAAAAGTATGTACGTCTGTGTTGTCTTTTTAACAAGAAAAATGCAGAGCTGGATCCAGGATCTGCCTTCCATTGATGGAAGTGTTTGGCTCACAGAAGATGCCTCTGCCCAATTTTCAGCCATTGCCCCTGCACCAGCTGATGCCATTCAGCAGGATCTCTGGATTCTCTGTGTAGCATTTCCAGGGGGCGGGAGGGGCTAATGGTGGAGGGAGGGGTTGGGCAAGTCCACTTCTGCCAGCCCAACTACGTGCACCTAAATCTGGATCCAAGCCCCAGGGTTTCTCTTTTTGGTCTATAGTGAAAACCTCCAGTTTGTTTGGAGATCCCAGCCCCTATCTGTATAGAGGATATTTAAATGAGTTTGATTGTTATGGAACATAAATTTCATGTTTACTACAGTTTGGATAGCTTCAACTGAATGTAATTACCTTAGGAGTAATTTAAACTAATTCAGACTTTTAAGCTGCAGTCCTGTGCTTGCTTACATAGGAGAAATCCAACTGAACTCCGTGGGGATTACTTCTGAGCAGACTTGTTTAGGATTGTGCTGTGAATCTGAGTTTGGGATTCTTAATACAGATAAGGCTGGAAGCAAAACTGCACCACCAGATTACGATGAATCAGATAACTGGCACAGCAAGCCTTACCCCCAGATCTACTGGCTTGAGGGATTTGGGATCTGTGGGAAATATCCCTCAAATCATGGAGAGAAACTCCACTAGTAGAAGTGAGGCACATCTGCTCCCTGCTATGGTCAAGGAAAGCTCCCCTGATGTGCATCTACTGATGGCAGTAGGCCTGATCTGCTTCCCTGAAAGATTCCAGTAAATGGGGTAGATAAGCTGTTCCCCACCGAAATAAGCAGGTTGCTTACCTGTAACTGATGTTCTTCGAGTGGCCATCTGTGCAGTCACACATATGGGTACTGCGCCTGCGCAGTGCCTGTGGCCGGAAGATTGACAGCTAACAGTTTTTGGCGGGAAGCTCCGCTCCCCCTCCCCCCTGTGGCCTATAAAGAGCGAAGCGTCCGCCATTTTGTTCAGTCTTTGTGACCGAACATACGCTAGCTTATTGAGAAAAACTTTGTTTTTTGATGTCGGTACCATGAAAAAGGGCATAGTCAGTACCAAAAGATGCATTCATTCACCGACACCAAGCGGTCGATGCATCCACTCACCGACACCGAGCGGGACCGGTGGGTGGGTTGTGTGACTGCACAGATGGCCACTCGAAGAACTTCAGTTACAGGTAAGCAACCTGCTTTTCTTCGTCGTGGCCTCTGTGCATCACACATATGGGTAGATTAACAAGCTTACCATAGAGGAGGAGGGAAGGTGTCTTCATTGAAGAACGGAGGAGAGAACAGCTCTACCGAAGGAGCAGTCCCGTTGAGCTTGAACATTGAGACGGTAGTGCCTGGCGAAGGTGCAAGGGTTCGCCCAAGTAGCGGCTCGGCAGACGTCATCAATCGGGACCCCGGATGCGAATGCAGACGAGGTTGCAACAGCTCTAGCAGAATGACCTTGAGGAACTGAAGGCAGTTCGAGCTTAGCTAATTGATAGCATAAGACTATAGTGTGGACTATCCACTTAGAAAGTCTCTGTGGAGTGACTGGATCGCCCTGATCCCTAGCAGAATATTTGGTTAACAGTTTATTGGATCGTCAAATAGACTCCGTTTGCGATCGGTAGAAGGCTAAGCAACGCCGAACATCGAGTGAATGCAAAGATCTTTCCAATGGAGTCGACGGTGATGGAAAAAAGGCAGGCAGCACAATGTCTTGTCCCATATGGAAAGGTGTAGACACTTTAGGCAAAAAAGACGGGTCGAGGCGTAAAACGACCTTCTCCCTGTGAAAGTTTAAATAAGGAGGGTCTATGCGAAGAGCACAAAGTTCACTGGCCCTCCGGGCTGAAGTGATAGCTACAAGAAACGCCGTCTTCCAAGAGACCAATCAAAGATCCACCGTCGCCAAAGGTTCGAAGGGGGCCTTCATAAGGGCCTGCAGAACTACAGAGGGGCTCCATGTGGGCATAACTGGTCTAATTGATGGGTTAAGATTATATAGTCCCTTCAAAAATCTTTTGAGGATAGGGTGAGAAAACAGAGGTGATCCGTCGACTAAGCCACGGTAGTAGGCTATTGCGGCTGTATACACTTTAATGGATGACGGCTTCAGTCCGGAATGGTGCAATTCCAGGAGGAACTGAAGAATCTGTTGAATGGATGAGAGGAATGGAGAGAACGAACGCGACTCGGCAAAGGCGGAAAAGCGTTTCCATTTAGCCTTATATGACTTCCTTGTGGACGGCTTCAAGGCAGAGTTGATGATATGCTGAATATCAGGGTGCAAAAACGTCGGATTCGGATTCGACGGGTC